TGGATAGAATGTGGAAAGTCCTTTGGTGGGGAGATGGGAAAACTCATGGTGCCAGGAGAAGCAGAGGAGGAGAAGAAAGTACTCCAAAAGCCCTCTTAATGGCAGGAAAGGGAAAAAAGGGAGAGAAGAAAGCGGGAGCAAGCCTTGGCCCTAAAAGCAGTGAGGAACAATGAGCCAAGAAGTAGTGGGACTTCCCTTCCTCAGACGGGGGTCTATTGCAAGCCAGATCGGAGGTCCAAGGGGAACCCTGGGGGACAACAGAGGGAGAAGATTTGTGGAGGTGGGAGCCCCTGCCACCACAGTCAGTGTTGTTGCCATCGTGGTCCACACCAGGTCTAAAGAATGAGGGAGGAGACCTCTGGCATATAGAAGGGGGGAAGTCCCCCTTAAAGAACAAAAGTTCTTGGAATCCCTTCCTCACCCTGTTGGTGAAGGGAAACACCTATTGAAGTTATACCTGAGTTAATAAATGTTAATGCTTTGTAACAAGAAAGCAGCTTGCCTGCCAGTTTGTCTCAAGGGAATTTGGAAGGGACCACACCAGGACTGACTCACCTGGGGCTCTCAATCTAGGAAAGTCTTAGCATCACATAAGAAACCAAGATTTCAAATGTTTCTGTCTTTTTTAGTCTGTCTTAAAAGTCCACGACTCCATACCACATAATACCATTGAGAACACAAAACACCAAACAGGATGAATCCTCAAACCCAAGTTTGAGCTTTTGCCCTATACTGCATTCTTCATTTTAAGGAAGCTGCACTGGGCCATCTCTGCTCTAACTTTTAATTATGTAGCTACAATCCATTGTTCATTATAAAGACGTTCATTTTTATATTTTCAAGTGAAACACTGTTCAACCATTGTGACCTTGCAGTTGCTTACTATGAAAACCAGAGACCAATAACTAAGAAGTGAATTACATGTTATTTCACTAAAGCAATAACATTTCTTAATAAAATTGGTTCAGAATCAAGCCTGTAAGTGTACCATAATATCTTAAGAGTGTCCTGACACACTGAGATTCTTTCTAGGATGGATGTCAGAACCACTTCTCTATACTGCTGTTTGTTCAGACACAATATGTAAAGAGATCATTTCTGAACAACATAAACAAAAACTTTTTTTCTAATTATGGTTACTAAGGAAGGAGATTAACTGAATACAATCTAATGAATGCTAGGGATGAAATACACAGATTAATCATGCAGAGTGGGCAAATGTTTCAGAACTGAAACATTTCTGTTTCATTTCCGACAACTACACCCACGGCTCCATCAGAAAGAGGGCACCCAGAAAAGGACCCCCACAAATGCTACTCTTTCCTATCTGTGTGGGAAGTCTGTTATTGAAATCCAGCTTACATCTGGCTGCCCCCTAACAAACCCATTTATCTCCATTAAAAAAAATAGCAGCCTCGCAAAAGTACCACATCAACTGCCCTGCCAGACCTCATCACCTTAAACCTACATTACCCAGGCAACGCCTTAATGTAGTTTCCAAAGCTATAGACAAAACTGGAAGAAATCCTGTCCGTTGATACAGAGTACGTACATCTCTACAAACTATGAACCTGAAGGGCTGAGAAAGTCCACGGTTAAGCCTGGATGAAAGGTAAATGTAAGTAATTTTGAAAAGCCAAGGTCTCTCTAACTCACTCTGCTCCCAATGGCTGTTGAGGCAGGAAAGCAGCAAGTGGACAAAGACCAACTGTCAAGAACATAGAGCACTGTTGCTACAGCAATCATGTGACCTCAGAGGTCCTGTGACACCTTCTCTCATTATGTCCTCAT